ATCGCAGTTGTGTATTGAATATTGTCATTAGCAGACAGGCAGGCAGACACATAGGTGTCAATAAAACAAGACATTGAGTTTTGTCTGTGACAACGACATATCTATATCACAGTTAGAAATTCTGTCAACGCTAAATAATGACATTGCTTTTAAGTATCGAACTGAAAATGTGACTCGGTAAGAAGAACGTGTGGTGAAATAGACAAATGAAATTATATAAACAGTTAATTTACTGTCATAACATATAAAAAGCTCGGACCTGTGAGATATCAACAACACATTATGAAAATAGCTCACACCAAAGCCTCCACCGAGTATTCACCAGACAGCCCTCTTCCAAGTTGCGCGAACCTATTTCACTGCGCACATGCTATGAGCGCAGCCCAGCTGTTGAAACCCGTTTTCCCCCGAAATTTTCGGGGGGAAAATTAGTGAATCGTTTGAACTCCGATTTCGCGCGGTATTTTTCATCGCGTTATTTTTCAACTTGAGTTTGCATTTTTGATGATTTGTTTCGGTACGTCCATACCGAAAGGTATCAGAATCTGCAAAGTTGTGTTTTACGTTGCATGTGACCTTTAAGCTTAGATATTTAAACCAAATTTGACCCCACATGGTAGTTTTCTGTTGAATCCATGATTTGATCCTTAGCAAAGTGTACATAGTATATATAACTCGGGCTGAAACCTGGGTACTTGACTACGAGGTGGGTAGGAGCATTACTCGAGTAGTAAAATACTACTCGAGTACTCGTCCAAGAAGAGTTATCTCCCCTCTCACTCCACGTGTAGTCGTTTCGGCCCCAACATGGCTGAGCAACCACGCTCCATAGTTTGGAGCTGTATTTAAACTTGTGTCATTTACTCATACCCGTAGATCATGCAATTACTTATCAGTTTGAGAATATATCACAACATAGTACATGGTGTTCGGTACGTAAGGATGGGTCCATTGTTTATTTCTTTTTCAATGAGCTTCAAATATAACGTACGCATAGCATAATGTACGCATAACGTAAAAACGTTGTTATATGGGAATCATTATTTTTTAAATGAACGTACCTCAATAGCTTAAAATTCATACCTGAAACAAAGACGTAGTTACTGTTCAAAACACAAGGAAAACGTGTTTCAGAGCTTCTAATTTTCTCAATTTTCCATGAGTCATATCCAAGGACCCCCCAGCAGATCTCAGCTCACCTACGTCACAGTCTCGAGGACGAGTACTCGAGTACTCGCAAGTAGTTGAAGGCGAGTACTCGAGTACTTTCAGTTACTACCCGTTTCAACTCTAGATATAACTGAAATACATTTTCTATGCCTACCTATTTTTTTCACCCACTCGCCCGAGAATCATATGCATAAATAGAAATGCATATGTTCATGTTTCAGATGCATTGAGAAACACGAAAATGAGCACACAGTGGTAAAACGTACGGTAGTTTACTGTTCACAGTTGCCTCCGTTTGACGCTGATCGTTACCTCGAAGTCCCAGTCAGATCCTGGGTTGATCAACACCATCTCCAATTTCAAAAAGACAGAAACATACTTGACCACCGTTATTTCAAGGTTTCATTCCACACACCCTGATGTGCTTGCAAAACTGTTCACATTGGTGTTAAAGCAAACCTGATTAGGCTGGAATACTACATTGTCAAATTGGAACTAACCTTTATGGAGATGCAGGTCCTCAAATTTGATATTTCCAGACAAGTATTGTCCCAAAGACTTCTGAAATTCTTCGTGTAGGTCCTTCGATTGATTCTGCATCTCTCTTGCATGAACAGCTTGTGAATTTACCGTGTTCACAATAGATGAGACGAAATGAAAGTCAGAATGTTGGATTTTAAAGACCACAACACAAATAGACGCCAACGAAAACCCGACTGTTAAACCTAACACAGCAGCAGATAGTTTTGTGACAGGACGGAAGGGACCCATTATTTCGCTGTTGTTGATTTATATCCACGTAATTGGGACTAATATCCCTTTGTAACTTGTACCTCTTCAGGATTATGTGTATTTATTTAGATGAGAAGAGATGAGGAATAGAACTAAACTGATGGATATAATGTGGGGCTGGTTAGGGGGGGGAGAGAATTGTATAGCATAGTGGGAGCTTGATTTGGAAACAGTTAAGCTGTTTATAATTAAATAATGGGTGAAGAAAGAAAAAGGGGTTAAACGGGGGTGGGGTGAGGGAGTGGTATGGGAGCATTGAAGGGGGCAAGGCAGGCTGAGCAAGTGTAGTAATTGAGAGGCAGTAGTAAGCTTGGCCTTGACTGAGGGGCTATGGGCGGCCTTGACCGTGGAGTTTTTTATGGTTGGTGCTTGAGTGGTGGCGGGGATCGGTGGTGGCTGGAGGCGCGGACCTCGGAGGAGACAGTATTTGTTTGGAGTTGGAGTTAGTAGAAGGATTTCTTTCATATATTTTTCATATACCTCCCAATAAGGTGTCTACGCTGGGAAGTTGGGCGTACCAATCACAACTCACTTTCGCTTCTTAAATTATCTAACCATATAAACTTGGCAACACAATTGATGTAGAGGTACTCTGAAAGAGGTAGAAGGAGTTCTTTCATATACTTTATAAAGTTTCAGATCTGTCAATTTGTCTTTATTATTTCCTTCGCGACTGCGACCACTATCCTTGTTGACACTGGCATGCTCGGTTGTAACGGCGGCTTAGCTGATTGGCTACTGTGAGAATGCGGAGCCAGCCAAGGGAGGTAATAAAATCATCGCCCTAAGCCGTGGATGCATCCAGGGTATAGTGGAGAGTTATCGTAACGTATACCCTGGAGATTATCGAGGATGTCTCTCTTAGAGCACAGCCAAATATGCCACACGTACCAACTCGTAATTCTTAAGTCTATTCAGCTCACTACTGTAAACTATTTTTGGGCAGTACATAATTGGAATATTATTGCGCTGCATGTGACCTTTCTTAATAGTCTCACAGTGCCGAAACCATGTTATTTCTCCTCCCGCTCAGCCTTTGCTGTAATAACGCCATACATCAGCTTTAAGTTGTCCACATTTGTTTCACTAACGCAAAAGTATGCGACAACAAACAATGCCATATCAAATTAAAACTAAATACGGGCTGATGCTGAAAAAGATCATTCATGGATGAAGCCTTGAAATGGAAAATTCTGATGGAAAATTCAGAACATGCTTCACCGTTGTTCTTTCATCTCACTGGATAAGGAAATGGAGGATCGTCAGCTTTCAACAAATAGTCATGAGTATATCGTGACGAGAGATACTCTATCGTCTTAATATGACCTCTTCAAATCTGGATTGACAACCTTACTGGTGCACCCGGTAGTTGGTGTAATAGCGTGTAATTTATATATATCTACTTGGGTGTCCCAATTAGTTGCATAAGATCCCGAATGTAGCATCTGATGAAAGTTCTATAATCATTGTACTGGTGTCACAGGCTTCTCTAGAGCTGCCCTTGCGGCAGCATCAGCCATTGTGTTACCCGCTCTGCTGACATGACTGAGCAACCAATAAATGACAAGTCGTATTGGCCAGTTGAAAGATCTTTTTATGGCTTTACAATTTCTAAATTGGATGAGTTGAAGACAAATCGTTAAAAAGAAAGACAGGGAATAGATTATATTAAAAACTGTTGACATACATGGACGTACAACAAGGCGTTAATAATAGCATGGGATTGCAGATACTACGATGGGGTAGTTTAATGTCAGCGCATTGCAGATACTACAATGGAAAGTTAAAGGGTCCGCGCATTGCAGATACTACAATGGGTAGTTTAAGGGTCAGAGCTTTGCAGATACTACAATTGAAAGTTTAAGGGTCAGCGCATTGCAGATACTACAATGGGTAGCTTAAGGGTCAGCGCATTGCAGATACTACAATGGGTAGCTTAAGGGTCAGCGCATTGCAGATACTACAATGGGCAGTTTAAGGGTCAGTGCATTGTAGATACTACAATGGAAAGTTCTGTAACTCGGAATGATAGCTGTTTTGAACACAACACCGGGGTACTAGCTGCTTTGCCAGCGTACTTGCATCCATTGGTAAATATTGAACGGTGATGATTGTATTTACTTAGTAGTTGTAGGTATTCCTGTTGATGTAAACTAATTGGTTTGTATCGGGCATTTTAAAACTTGTTAGGGAAATGTCTACTTCTGGACTGACCAACCGCCAGAGAGTCGACAAAAGTCGGTATGGAGAGATGATATCAAACGCCGAACGTTTAGCCTCAATATGTGGTTTAATCTGAATCCAAAGAAGGGAACCAGCTTTGGTTTCTTATGAAAGTGTTCCGCACAGACAGGATTAAAAACAGGGTTATAAGCAGGATTTGAAGGATTGGATCATAATTTAATAATGTACTGAAGGGACAATTTAATGCGACATTGTTTTAAAGAACAATAGTAGATGTTGGAAATGCATCCAATCATTATCTGAGACCTTTGATCATGTCTCTTTGTTTTAAAATTACTCTTGCAATGGAGCCATAGTTCCATTTTGTGCGAACCAGTAATCTATAACAGTGATGGAGAGTTGTCTGATTGCTTCCCCACTTTGTATTTGACACAATGTTCGACCGACTTAATGCCTTCAGACATTTGAGAAGATCATAAGGACAGAAGTATTTTAGAATGTTTTCATATATTGTTATTTAAATCGTCAAATCAGATAATAGCAACATGAGTTATGAAACAGACCCTTATTGGAAGTAACAAATGCAGGACATCTTCAGGAAAGCCACGGTTAGGTGTTGAGTGATAGTGGTATTTTAATCTTTATCCTTCTGTCACTGTGCAGACTGCTTTCCATATTGTCAATTTGCCTTACCGGTTGACACAACATTAAGTACTGACAGTGACGTAGGAGTTCCCTACTTGCAAATATTTTCCATTGGTCATAGATTATGTTACTAACAAAATAAATCCGTGTATGTTTATCCTTTATCAGTAACATTAAGTACACATATATTATGTTTGCTTTACGGATAGATCAGTTTTAGCCATGGCGAGCAAGGAGGACAGTGATGAAGGAGTTCCAATGACAGAGTTACATTGTCAAGGAGGTGACAGAAGTGAATCCACACCACAGAGAGAATCATGGAGCAGACATTTGGACTACATGCTGACAATGATTGGCTACTGTGTTGCATTAGGAAACCTGCTGAGGTTCCCCTACATTTGCAACAGGAACGGTGGAGGTAAGACTGTATGTAGTTATTTCTTATGATTCTTGGAGACAGCAAATTGCGATACCTGTATAATCTGTGACATGATTCCATAAAAACACACACGATCCAATAAATATGCAAATAACCATTTTTAGAAAGCTGAATAGTTTTAAGGCTTACATTCCCACGTTATTTCTGTGGAATAAGATTTGGATGTGTTTGTAGAACAACATGGCTGTACGGTTAGTCTGCATCTTTAAGGACGGCATCAGATTAAACTCAGTGATCAATGCGATCGCTAAGATGAGGTCTCAACGCATCCTATTTTATGTTAGGGTCAATGGAGATAACAAATTGTTACATTAAATCATTTATGAATATTCTTACACATTTCCATTAATTATTATAATCGATGTGTATAATTCAAGACTGACCCAGTAACTGAAAGTTTACGCCTAGTATATATCATGGATATGTCAAATATCATGGTGACTTTGAAGGTAACATACTCATAAAATTACCCCTTAAATAGTTCCATTCAGTTGAGAATTCTTGACATGGAATGGAGTGAGTTAATTTGGCTTGATGCCCCTTTGAACCGTGTTCCCTTCCTACCACGACGTGTCAACTCGATGCGGAATAAAAGCCTGACGAGATACGTAACCTTGAAGCATGGTCGAGTTTAATCATTACTGAACACATGACTACATATTCCCCCAGGAGCTTTCCTCATCCCCTTTGTCTTGATCCTGGCCATCGCTGGGTTCCCCTCATTCTTCGTGGAGGCGACCATCTCGCAGTTCTCGGGAAAGGCTGCCAAACAAGTCTGGAGCTTCTGTCCTATGTTTAAAGGTCAGTGACAATATTCTGACCAATACGATTGCATATACTATATACAAATGACAGGGATTCACATGTGAGCTTTATATAATCACTTCTGTTGGGTTATTTTCGTGTTTGAAATGTGTATGCCTGATTTGTTCCCTTATTATCAGTTGTTTACAGTCCACTGACAGGTTTTATATATAGAACAAAACTGACATTGATACGCTTATACTACTAGGTGTCATAACTAAAGGGTCAAATGAAATACAGCACTTGTAAAGAAAAGTTTTTCAGAAATAATAGAACTAAGAGTGCCATCGTGATATAAAGACAAATGTTCAAACAGCACTAGCAAACAGTAATTGTATACACCAACCCACCAAAATGAAAATGACAAACATGAAGCTCTCGGTCATTCAGTATTTTGTGTCGGACTTTTGTGACTCTTGGACGACCTGGTCGACGTGCATATTCCACGGACCCATTGGTTCAAAATCTCTGCCACAGTCTACCAATAGCACTCTGACTCACATTAAAGCGGTCAGCAACCTGCCGCTCAGTTTGACCAGATTCCAAAAGGTCTATAGACCCCTTCCAGCAAGTGTCAAAAAACGTCTCATTTTAACCTGAGATTTCAAACAGGTAACTGAACAGTGAAAAAAGCTGCAATGCATGTGCATTTTCTCCACTTCCCATGGATAGAATGACATGCACGTGCAAATCATTGCGACTAAGTGGCAGGTGGCCTTCTATATTGACAATTTGAATAAGCAATGAGCCATTTGTAACAGAATGTATCGGACGTTAAAGAACGTAAGCATGACCTTTGAATGGCCTGACGTATTTTACATACTGTTCAGAAAGTTTGCTAAACATTCAGTGGAATCTATTTCAACTTTTAAGAAATAGTGTTACCAATAGTGTGACCCTTGATTAATGACGCCGAGTATGTTCAGAACTGACTCTGTTGATTCAGTTGAACCGTCGTACATACTGCAACTACTACGTCTCCCACTACAGCTACATTTACCACCACAGCTACACTTACCACCACAGCTACATTTACCACCACAGCTACATTTACCACAACAGCTACATTTACCACCACAGCTACACTTACCACCACAGCTACATTTACCACCACAGCTACATTTACCACAACAGCTACATTTACCACCACAGCTACATTTACCACTACAGCTACATTTACCACTACAGCTACATTTATACTACAGCTACATTTACCACTACAGCTACATTTACCATTACAGCTACATTTACCACCACAGCTACATTTACCACCACAGCTACATTTACCACTACAGCTACATTTACCACCACAGCTACATTTACTACCACAGCTACAACCACAGCTACATTTACCACTACAGCTACATTTACCACCACAGCTACATTTACCACCACAGCTACATTTACCACAACAGCTACATTTACAACAACAGCTACATTTACCACCACAGCTACACTTACCACCACAGCTACATTTACCACCACAGCTACATTTACCACCACAGCTACAACCACAGCTACATTTACCACCACAGCTACATTTACCACCACAGCTACACTTACCACCACAGCTACATTTACCACTACAGCTACATTTACCACTACAGCTACATTTACCACAACAGCTACATTTACCGCTATCTACTAACAGTGCCAATGCTACTACCACAACAAGTACTACTACTACTGGGGCGTTGGGGTGGCATACAACTATTGCAACTACAACTACCTATGAATTGAACACAATATTCTTGAACGCAACATAAAACCAAATTTCACTTGATTTAACTACAACAACTACTACTACTACTACTACTCCTACTACTACTATTACTACTACTACTACTACTACTACTACTACTACTACTACTACTACTACTACTACTACCCGTGAAGGTCCGGGTTAGAATGTGCCTTCAGTAATCCATACTTGTCGTAAGAGGCGACTAACGGGATTGGGTGCTCAGGCCTGCTGGCCTGGTAGACACATGTCATCGGTTCCCGGTTGCGCAGATTGATGCTCATGCTGTTGGTCACTGGATTGTCTGATCCAGACTCGATTATTTACAGACTGCCGCCATAAAGCTGGAATACTGCTGAGTGCGGCGTAAAACTAAACTCACTACTACTACTACTAATACTAATACCAATACTACTAATACTACTAATATTACCGATGCTCTTGCCATAATTACCACAGACTGTGGGTCACACACCGTAACGGATCTAACCAAGGACATCTTTCTCAACAATGAAATGGTTTATTCTGTCAGCTTTCTTAAGTGTCAGCAACGAGACTTGTAGTTGGACTTGGTCCAGTTTCATCCGAGTGAACGACTGTTGTTTGACGGTCAAGAGAATGTCTATCCTCTTCCATGAACCACATTCATGCATTAGTTAAATTTTATAAACATAATTGGCCAAATTTATTACCAGTCAGAGCCACAGTTGACAAAAGCATTATATTTCCTTCCTCGTACTGACATTCTTTCACGACGTGAACGTCCCATGGCTCGCGGTGACGGCTTGTGCTTGTAGGCGGCTGTCAATGAGAGCTCCTATATTTTACAGTAAGTGCATGAGCGCACTTACATTACGTAATCTGTAATTGTAACCAAATTTGAAGCATTTAGCTCCTGCAAAAGCTCGGTTTGTGGCCCACATCAACATGACATTCCTTGGTGTTAATAAAAAAACCTGGCCAGTGCAACGTAAATTATGATTGTGCATGTTTCGTCTTTTGTATATCCCCTACCGAAGTTCAGATCAGGTTATTACATATTGGCTTAAGGCGTATAAATATTTTTGTATTGCCAAGCAGGAGTTGGTGTTGGCGCTGTTGTGGTTGCATTCGCGTACATGCCCTATTACAACCTGTATCTGGCCTGGCCCATCTACTACATGGTGAAGTCCTGCTCCAGCGTCCTGCCCTGGACAACTTGTGGCAACAGCTGGAACACCGACCTGTGTATTGACTACGGGAATACAACGTATAGCAGTAACAAGACAGCCCTTTCTGGGAATACGTCATATACCATCATCAAATCCGAAAAGTGGGAAAATGTTACTCTAGCTCACACACCTGCGGAGGAGTTTTGGCAGTACGATATATCTGTCATGTTATTTTTATAAGGACAAGCTTTGTCAAAATATGTTTCCCGTATACATACATGGTGTTCATGTTTAAAATGAATGTACATAACTGTCAGGTTTGATTAAAGTTATCCAAAGACCAACAAATTCATCGGAGTCGGCGCTGTTGTTGTTTTTGTTGTCATGACGGTCAAAGTCACATGACGAATGATATATATGATCAATTACATATTCATGACATATAAAAACATCAATCGATTTACAAGTCCGCAGAGTAGTAGACTCGTGTTGACCTTTTGCTTGTACATGATATTGATTTATATATTTGCCCAAATTATAAGATTCGTTTCTTCCGCTGCTCTTCGCTGTACAGAGTTGCGTCCCTTTGTCACGTAAGAATCCAATGCAGTTCATGTATACTCTACTGCTTGCACTTCTCACCTCACCTACCCTCTATTTTTCTTTCAGCTACAATGTCTTGGGTGTCTCAACTGGCTTGGAAGATGTGGGGTCTGTGCAGTGGCACATAGTTGGATGTCTCTTGTTTTCAGTTGTTGTAATCTTTATATGTCTCATTCGTGGAGTCAAGTCTGTTGGTAAGCAATGTGAACTGAAATATCACTGCCAACATCTGTACCAATGCCCTTTCAATATTTAATACACTGATTACGAGCCAACTATTCAACAGAACATCCACTCAGATACGGATATATCCTTTCAAATTCAGATCTCACAAGTTACAAAATGGGCACGAGTTCTTTTAGAACCAACAGGAAGCAAAGTACAATGTTCACAAGGAGTACAGTACTTCAAGTCAGAGTTCAGTCATGCTTGTCGTAAGCCACTGACGGGATCGAGTTGTCAGGCTCAATGACCAATGACTCCCACTTTGATTTAATACAAGTATCACTCAGTGAGATCAGTGGCATCCAATATGTTTGTCTATATCGCAATATCTTGGCAAGTATCTGCAGTGGTAATAGACACCTGTGGACAAACAAAAGAATGATTCCTTATTCATTATATTATTCAAAATAATCTTAGATGCATTGAAACCTTCACCAAAGCTATGAATATCTTTCCATTTGAAAGCAGAAAATTATGTATCTACCACAAGAAATATAATTTCTATTTATCTTAGCAAAACAAAAGCTTTGGCTGACTGTCTTTTGAATTCAAAATCAATTTAAACTTACCAGGATTTTTAAACATAGCATTCTTGTTATTTTAATTTTGGCTAACATTTCTTACAATCGCCAACAGCTGAAGGGATGGTATAAATCCAACTAGACTCCATGCAGGTAGCAAAGGTACTGTAAGTCCCCATGGTCCCTAGTATGGTGATCAACCTTCAGTTGTTGGCAATCTATAGCCTGGTTTTATATTGTATTGTCGTGTATAGTTATATGTTTTAGATTTGGTTACTAGTTTTAAATTTCAACCTGTGAACATATAGTTGTTTTACTGTCCTTCGTTGACAGGTTTTTATAATGTACCTTTAATATCTATTAATCTGTAACTTGATTTAGTCACGATATGGCTGAAATATTGCCAAAGTGACTTTATATACTGAAAGGCAAAAGAAATGTCGTAATATTGGAGATGACATTTAAGTATCAATGGAACATTTGAACCTATTTTTTTAAAATAATACGCCACTGAAATGCAGTACCGACTTTCATCAGAGAAGATAACCCCTCTCCATTGTCCCCCACGAAAGTTTTGCCGCTGTTGTGTCCACTTGGATACGTTCCCGGCGGTGACGTTGGGTGAATATGGGTCTCCTGGCAGGACATCGACAAAACAGGTTCCTGGCTTGGAGACGTCGCCGAATGGTATGTCACTGACTGGTCGCTGGTGGTTTCCTATGGTCACCCAAGCTGTTTCTCTGGCCCTTGCGAACAGGTCTTGCACGTGTTGATGGACGATATGACGGTCCTGGCGACGTGTTGTTACACGGGGTTGACCACTACGTGGACGGTCTTCAGTGCTGCTGGTGGCGTTGTATCGCACTCTAAGACGTTCTATCGTTCGTACGCTGCAACTGAAGTCATTAGCAATGACTCGAGCATGTTGACCTGCGTGCAGACGTCCAATAGCTGGTTGTGGTTGATCTCTCGTTAACCTAGTCATAGCTGCTGTGTTCAGAAAACAAATGAACGATTGCCATTCAAACCGGCAATTTATGCCTGAATGCATTTATGATGCACGTGCATCTCGATTTCAATGTTGTATTTGTGGGAACTTTTCTCTCTCCAAAAACCAAAAACATTTCTAACTTCAATCTCAAACAATACTTTATTGGGCAATGCAGGCTATACGACCACGATTCATGTTTCCTCAAACTTGACTTCTGGTGTATATTTAAAAAAATAGGTTCAAATACTCCATTGATACTCAAATGTCATTTCTAATATTACGACGTTTCTTTTGCCTTTCAGTATATTTTAACACACTCACTCAGTCACTGTCCTTTAAAGGGAGAAAAACTTGAAAAGTGACTAAAGCGTTTATAAAATATATCATGTTCAATAAGCTGCTTAAAGCTGTTTGAAATGTTTTCTTGCATTCTTTTGTACTATTCACTTTTGTGTAAAACCTTTTGTATAAAGGAGGTGTGTCAGAAAAACATGTACTTTGGGCTGAACGTCTGTTATACTGTAATTTAAAACTTGAATCTTGAATTAATCAAAACTCGATTCCTAATATAATTTATCTTTACTGGGATTTATCTAACAATGCCATTCACATGAGCAATGGAAAGAAATATCCCACATCAATGCATCCATATGACTACGGGGATTATGTACGATAGCCGAATGGTTAAAGCGAAAGACCCGGGTTCGATTCCCTACATGGGTGCCCATCGTGATATTGCAGGAATGTAGATAAAGTGGTGAAAAGGCATATTCACTCACTTGTTCATTGGATTATGTCTTTACTAGCTGTGTTGTGTAAATATCCGTTATCTTTAATATAGAAAACACTTGATTTACAAGCTAATAATTAAATTAAAGCTTTCTAAATCCAGATCATACAGACGCAATGAAGATCACAATATGTCCAATAACTTGATCTGTTCCTCCCTACAGGCTGTGTACGTGACTGCGCTGCTGCCGTACGTACTCCTCATCTCCATCTGCATCACGACGCTGCTGCAACCAGGTGCTCTAGATGGCGTGTATTACTTTTTCATACCAGACTTCAACAAACTACTTGATATACAGGTGTGTTTCAATTGACAAATTTCAAGTCTTTGCAATTCTATGTATTTCCTTACTACCCTCTTCTTCCAATCTTGATGAATACTGACCGAACACGCCTCACGTTCATTTATTTAGCAAATACAATAAGATATGTTACATTTGACCAATTTCTAAAATGGCATTGCGTATTCATTGATAAAAATAGTATTCAATTTCGAGTTTCTGAATTATGTAACATGCTTGTGAACATGATTCATGTCATAACTTCCGATGTTTTCCTTCTATAACATTCTGTGACTATGTTGAGAATATGCTGGGCTATTCCTGCTTCTTCTGATGCTTCCAGATAAATATCAAGTCTCTATTTAAATATATCATACATCAAGCGTGGTATATCTTTGCAGTGTGTGTATTTCCTCGGCTTCCAGTTTTGATATATACACAAGCACGTCATTACCCTCTACTGAATCTTACCCTCTACAAGTGATTAGAACAGCAGGTCAAGTTTGATAACCAGTGATATTCACAAGAATGAAGGTCAAACCTAACATCGCCACACTTTTTGCTAGAGGATATTTTAATGCAGAGTAAAATATTGCCATCATCTGTTAAATGGCGCGGTGGGCGAGCTTGCTAAGGCGTCAGGCTAGTGATCCAGCGAGGTTGAGGTGCCGGGATCGAGCCCACCTGTGACCGGGTGTAAAAACCTTGGAGTCAACTTTGTGTGCAGACTCTTTCAGTGTTGTCACAACCGCTAGTGTACAGTACACAACCCTGTGCACTTAAAAGAACCCACGATTCCGTTGGTATATGACCAGATTGTGAATACGTGCAAACACCTAGCTGCGGGTACAGCAACGTGCAGTAAAATATTGCCATCATCTGTTATATATCTACAACTGAATCATTGATTGTCATCAGCATAATTGGTCAGTTAAAAAGGACTGTGTGGTCAGATGTTAATGACAGATCAGATACATATATAACGGGATACAAACCAGTGCATTTATGACGGAAGCCAAGAAGATCAAAGCGAAATCGATCAATTCTGTGTCCAAACAGGCTTGACATTCATTATATCCTAAAAAATACTATTCATTTAAATATCAACTCCCTGTTTAAATATAGTATCGAGCAGACCTCTCCCATCTACTGATTGTTAATAGAAACAATGGAACTATCTGACGATGAATTACACTACCGCTTCATATAGGTGTGGCTGGAAGCATGTTTGCAAGTGTTCTATTCACTGGGTGTTGGCTTTGGGATGATTGGCACTGCTGCGAGCTACAACAACTTCCATGAACCATGTCTCCGGTGAGTTACAAACACATCAGTGCGGTAACATGACAAAGTATCAAACTGAAATCTCACATGATTAATTTATTAACACAACAGGGTTGGTTATTACTTTTGCGTGCATTACTAACAACCACTTAGGACATGGGCGTTTGTTCTATCACTGCAATGTCAAGGAAACCTTCTCAAAGTATGAAGGTCACCTTCCGGTGGCATTATAAGCAAAAGATGGGTATAAAACTGAACTTCGAGAATCTATATTTCTATAATCACAGAGACGGAGCAATCGTAAGACAAAGTCTCGCAATGAAACGTTATATAATTGGCTAACTCCACACCTTCCGCAAGATGAGAACAATTTAATGGTAGAAATATGTGTGTTATATTTACAGAGATAGTATCATACTGACGATTGTCTCAGAAGGAACCAGTATCTTCTGTGGCCTGGTGACCTTTGCTGCTCTCGGAGTCATGTCACAGAAAACGGGAGTTCCCATTGAAACTGTTGTCACAGGGGGTAGGTAATCTGTTTTTGTATGAGTAAAACAAACTCCAGATTTAAGAAAGAATAAAGGAAAGTATTGGGTCTTCCTATGTAACTGATAGGTAGTACTCCAAAGCTACTAGGCTCGTATGATACTTTTTGATCCTGAAAAGTGTTTTAAAGGATTCCTCCTTGCTGAATACAATGTTTCATAACTAGTTATCAGAGTCCAGTGGCGTATTGTGTTTGGGATATAGTTGAATCAGGGGGCACAGTATAAGGATACACGTTAAAACATGCAGAAGTATTTCCTCAAATGTCACTGAACATAACCTTGCAGAACGGCGGTAAATTTTAGATTTACAAAATGTTTGATTGTGCACTTACCTTGTGTTTACATGTAGATTATTTAAATAACACTATACAAAAGCGACCAAACCCGTTCTCTATCCATAATAAATCCCTGTTCAAGGCAGAGTCGATTTTATCTAATTCCAAATATTTTCTGAGCATGTGCTTATGAATCACTATGAAATAGTGATGATACTCGATGTTCGCGACAATGTGGGCATACCCTGCCCCTCCATGGGCACCCGTCATAAACAAATGCTAGGCTAGTTAATTGTTCACCTCAAAAGACATGGTAGTGTATATACAGTAGCGTATGGTACCATTAACAACGGGAAGTGCATCAGACATTATTTGGTCATTGATGCATCAAACTGTAACATGTTCTCAATAAATCTACCATAAAACCCTACTGACATCTTGAATGTTGTAACCTTGACCCAAGAACTTCTGACCAAGAGGCATGTGAGACGGGATTGCACCTCAAAGGTTGTTAAATGTACACAGTAAAGTCTGGAGGTGTTGGAATATTGACAAAGAGGAAAAATTGTCATCCCTTTGAATATTTAACCATATTTTTGACACTGAACCTTTTTGAATGGATCTAAATGTAATGCAAATAAAGTGGTCTCACTGATACATATTATCGCAAGTTCAGGTGCGTAAAATCAGTGGAAGGGAATTGGCTCTTGGATCATTAATATACCTGAAGTTTCAGTTAAACTTATTGGCAAAATTACCTACTTTCGATTAACGAAAGACCCACGAAATGGCACGACTGTGACAAACAGGCGATGATACAGTGTTAATGATAACATACTGGGTAAGGTACTCAAGGCCCGTATGTAAAATGGAACCAGTCCCATCTTGATTATAAACTAAACGTTGTTGCCCAAACGATAGATCCATATCTGGCCATACCATACATAATTATATATGATCCATATCTGCATATTACGTCTCTATTGAAGGTCCAGGATTGGGATTTGTGACCTATCCAGACGCTCTCGCACAACTTCCGGTCCCTCAGCTGTGGTCATTCATGTTCTTTCTGATGTTGTTCATGGTTGGTTTGGATTCACAGGTACAATATGTAGTGTTCAATTCGATGTTCTAATTCATCGTGATAGCTGGGAAAAAATGTGGTCCAAATGTAACATGGCAGAATATTGCTGCCCTTTTTGATTTGGGATTAGGGATTCTAGATTAGAGCAGGCTACAGCCTATTCTGGCAGTAACGAAATTGAGTGAGTGTCAGTGCCTGGGGATTAAGGATTCCAGTTTAGATCAGTGCCCTTATTCTCGAAACGTTCGTAGCACTAAGAATTCTTAACTTTAATCGTAGCCAATGTGTTAAGAATGGCTTAAGTAGTTCGTAGGTCTACGAACGTTTCGAGAATAGCTAGCCAGGTTTCCATCAGCTTTTTCTGGTAGTAACCATTTGGGCACAGCATCTTCTCTGAAGCATTAACTAGACCAATGCTTTGTATGGCTCAGATTCGATCATTTAAATGGCACATTCACATGTGGAATAGTGTGCGGCCTGGGCAGTGCTGATGTAAAACAGCACCAAACTCACAACGGATATCACAGACTTTTGTACACATATCCTGAACAAGTTCATAAACTTTTATTTCTCTCCAAAGATCTATCTCAAGCTGAGCGTGGAGTGAAAACGCACAAACAATAATGACTGATTACATGTTCAGTATATTATCTACAAGTAGCAATGCCATTTATGGAATATGTCTGAAGGTTATGTTAAACGACATTTCCAGCTAAATATATCAATATTAACAATGGCATTCAGAGTAAAATACGACTGGACGACACTGATGTTTATGAACATATTACTGGTTTGCATGGAGCTACACCGTCCACTGTTGTCCTTCCAGTTCCTGAGTACTGAAGTCATTATTACTGCCCTGATTGACCAGTATCCGCGGCAGCTGAGCAAGAAGAGGATGTTTCTAACAGGAGGATGCTGCCTGACAGTATTTCTGATTGGACTCATCTTCTGTACCCAGGTCACTATGCTTACCTGCTGAACAATTCAGTAGGTCCAAAAAGGTCATTGTTGTGGCAGTGGTACATGTATTTGAAGACGAAACGATTGTGCTAGCTGTAGACGGCTGTAATGTCAAGGGCAAAAGCAGCAGCTCTCCAGCAGCAGCAGCAGGAGTAGTAGTAGTAGTAGTAGTAGAGTAGTAGTAGTAGCAGTAGTGGTAGTAGTAGTAGTAGTAGTTGTTATTGTTGTTGCTGTTGTTGTTGTTGTGACAGTAGACGTTGGGTATTTTTTGAAGGACGATATGGACTTCCTGTTGCAGGGAGGGCCGTACATGTTTCAGCTGGTCGACTGGTATGTGTTGTCTCTCGGACCCATGGTGATAAGTACAATGGAGTGTCTTGTCGTGTCGTGGATATATGGTGCGTACATCAATTTATGTGTATCAAGTATATATGCTAACTGTTAAAATTGACTCAATGGATCAAATGGTCATGATTTAAGTTTTTGTATGTCAGCGGTCATCGCTGCTCATAATAAAAATCACTGGATTGTCTGGTCCAGAATGGACTTACAGGTCACCATACGAAAATGTCTTTCACCCGTGGTTTTCTATTCCTTTCATTTGGATACAACAGTTCCTTAAAAATATTTACTAAACCACTCATTTCATACAGAGAATAAAGGTTTTAGATGTAAAAGATCTCGCAAAGTTGATGGAATCCTGAAACGCGTTCTCTGTAGCTTTTATTCGTTGAGCAAGTTTGTTTTTTTTTCCCTTGCTACAAGTATGTCTTCTAGACATATGTTCAAGACAGAGACGTATTCAAACTGAAGATAAAATGTCCTGATCGTAGATCACTATATATTTATTACTCACACATTACTAAGGATCACAAGAAACTTTACTTCAACGTAGATTTAGAATTTGAAATTGTATCCATTTAAACTGGATAAATAATGATATGGTAACATTTCTTTAGGAAAACAGCCACTTTAAGCTAACCGTATGCACTTGATACATGAGTAACCATAAAATGGTTTTCATGGCACCAACCAATCATTTTGCAAATCACGTCACGGGTCATTGACAAGTACACAACACCTTTCAATAGCAGGTATGGGATCCACAAGATGCAGTGACATACTGAAAACTTGGATCCATTACAATAGGCTTAGATATATATACCACATTTGACCCCACACCATAGTTTTTCTGTTGAATCAATATTTGATACTTAGCAAAGTGTGAATAGTATAGTTCGTCACTGTATCTTTAAACTTCAAAATTTATTTACAAGAAAAAGGACATTGTAAACATATTACTTGGATTGTATCCATGGGGTAGAGAGCAAACCGGTAGTAGCATAGTCATAATGTTAATAGAGTATAATATCAATACAATTGCACAAAATAATATGTTATGAACACACATGAACTTACAATGTGAACATATGTGTAAACATATGTGTAAACATATGTTCTGTCAGGTATAAGACGAATCAGTAAAGACGTTGAGATGATGATTGGCAAGCCACTGCCGATGCCCGTAAAGATCCTCTGGGCTCTGGTAACGCCGACAATCTTGATAGTAAGTACAATGCAGTTGCACGGTACAATGATGGCATTGACGTCTCAAATAGACATGTGATACATACTTGCTTACAAAGTATGTGAAAGAAGTTCATCAATATTATGATAGCATATGACTCGTCTGAGCAGCTTTCCAACCACCGCCAGCTCGTTGTATGAATATTGTATATACAGTCTGTTATTAAGTGCTCTTGGATCTGTTCCATGGTCCCTAGTGTGGTGATCTACCTCCAGTTGTTGGCAATCTATAGCCTGGTTTTATATTGTACTGTCGTGTATAGTTAAATGTTTTAGATTTGGTTACTTGTTTTAAATTTCACCCTGTGATAATCTAGTTGTTTTACTGTCCTTCGTTGACAGGTTTTTATAATAATTAATATATATTAATCTATAACTTGATTTAGTCACGATATGGCTGAAATATTGCCAAAGTGACTTTAAATGTTAACTCACTCACACACTCACTCTTGGACCTGTTGCCATTACAGGCTTCTTCATGATGTTGTTAAAATACAAAACATTCCCAAACTCAATCACCATAAATCACGATTTAGAGTATATCCGTTGTGTGCGTTTATCAGATTATATACTAATCATATGAAAAGAAAATCATATGGGGACTTGACTAAAAGGTGAACTTATTCTGCCCCAACGGGAACAAGTTTAAAGTTAATTTTGTTTCAGAACATCGCATTAACAACACGACTTTAAGATTAAACTTTATCTCAATAAACACGTGTCTGAAAATATACAGGCGCCAAATACACACTAATTATACTTGTTACCCTTTTCAAAGTCTGCTTGTGATATCATTGTTTCATATCCAGATCACTTTCATCTTGACACTTCTCCGCTACCAACCACCAACCTACGGCAAGTACAAGTTTCCTAGCTATGCTTCTACAATCGGCTGGATTATTGCAGTGCTGCCCCTACTACCGATACCAGTCTACATGGTCATGGCTGTCAGGAAGCACATGGCGACCAATTCCCTGAAGAAGGTAGCACACACTTGTTCTTAAACTGTATCGACTATTAAATAAAGATATTAACATCAACCCTGCATCGCAATGTTAACAAGAAATGTAGACTACGCTATAGGCTCAACTGAACTGTCCTACTCCTAGTCAGTGGATGTCCTGCGCTGGTCCCCGTGGTTGTTTTTGGAGTAAACATATCGTTAGGTTCAAGTTTTAAGAAACATTCTCTGATCATTATGTTTTTCAGATATTTATTAACTTCTTTGAGTGGCTTTTTAGAAGCTGGGGAGTACAATATAGACAACATTTATGGATAGCAACTTGTTTATTTCGTGAGTGCAACGTTTCGATACAGATTCTTGTACCGCTGTCAAGGAGGAATGTATTGTATTTAAGTTGGCTTTTATTAATATGTAGTCTCGATATTGCTGAAATACTGCCGATGTGGAATTTTAACCCACTCTCTCATTCATTCACCAACTAACTCCTGTTTTGGTCCAAACAGTATTTAAAGCGACACGACGGCCTATTTCGCCGTGCTTGTTGATTGGCAAATGTCCACAGTAAGACCAAGAATATGAAGAGTGCTGAATGGAAATTGATTACTATAACTTTGTGGCCCATGCAGGAAGCAAATGTACTGTAAGTCCCTATGGTCCCTTGTATGGTGATCTACCTTCAGTTGTTGGCATTCTATAGCCTGTTTTTATATTTTACTGTAATCTATAGTAAAACTGTTTTAGTTTGTATTACTAGTTTTAGATTCATATCTGTGATATTCTAGTTATTTTACAGTCCTTTGTTGACATGTTTTAATAATTTACCATTAAATAGGATGTATAACAATTAATTGTTCTCGCCCCGATATGGCTGAAATATTGCCGATGAGACGATAAATGTTTTAACTAACTCACTCACTATAACTTTGTTCTGAATAGACCCTTACACAGCATCAGTCGTATCCAGGGTCATCCAAGCCGGATCTTGTCCTTTATGATATGGCCAATAAAACAGAGTGCTATACATATACATGATATTGTTGAGCTCTCAGTTGTATGAACTATTAGCACAGTTGCGAAAGTGTGGATAGGGCGACGATCTGATAGTATGGGGCGCTTTACCCTAGACCCCAAAACTGATGAGTTGATTCCCGATTGAGCTCGATTTCTGTGATGACAGTTGTCAGTGTTGTGTGTTCTCTTTTAAAAATGTACTAACTGCAAAGACCCTTTGACGTCACACCAAGTCATCCAATCCTTGGGCTGTCCTTTAGGTCATTAGTTTGCTACTGCTTCCGTACCACTCTGCTTTTAACCAACTGGTGTACAGCTGTACAATGCTTTAAAATATTTATAATGGATACGTTGAACAGCAGGGTAACGGAAACGTCAATATATGTTTCCAGTTTGCAAACTTAGTACAGATGAAAAATCAAACCGACAAGCCAATTTACATATATGAACTAATGAAACGATATATGTGATAGGAATTCGCTTTCGTTGACAGAGTGTACGTCTTGCCTTGAGACCTGATGATGAATGGCGACCTGCGAACTCCAGAAGCCGGCAGGATTCCATTGATGAGTCCACAACATAACAACCACCTCTCAAGACTACGCTCACGGTGCTGTTCAAACAAAAACATGGAACCTTAACGTTTCAAGCCGTCTTTATTATTGACTAAGTGCACTAACAGTCCATCGCGACAATGTTAATATACTATAATTGCCACCTCTCAAAAAACGGCCAATCATTCCCATATTACCATTTGCTGATACACAGAAAATGAAGAGGCATTTTCTGTTGGTTGCGTTTATACATGTATGTTCTGCGTATACGCTTTCCTTTGTTGTAGCTATACAGAGTTATACAAAATATATGAGTGAGTGAGTTAAACAACGCCTTGACGCAGGTCTCAGACGTTAATGCTCGTGAAACCACGGGCACGATCAAGCTTCTGAGAGACCTGGTATCTGAATGGTCATTGGTTTATGGCATACCCAAGGGACGCAACTCTGCACTGTTAATTGCGGAGCCTGAGTCACAAATGCCCCAACAGATGGTATGAAGTGATCTACAAAGGCAGCGAGGAGCAGTTTCTTAAATAGCCTAGGGGTTGTCATGTCATCTCTTTTCACCGCGTTTTCCCGCTCGCTTTACTAGGTTCTGGGAGGAGCGTTGTTGAATTCTGTGATTCGTAGAACAGAAGAAATGAAGATTTAATCGAATTTTGTATTGTCGAATTTGCAACTGAAAAGGCAGCTTGCTGTTTAGAATACAAATTTGAGCCTTGTTCAACGTTTAAAACCAAGTAAGGGGCAATGTGACCCTGAAGAGATTATTTTACTGTTGGATAGAGAAAAGTGTCATCTAGACGACACTCAAAATAGCCCTTCAATTCGATTTATGACTTGTTTTGCCATAACACACACACACACACTGTAATCTGTGTTGCTTAACGCTGCGCACAACAATATTCCAGCTATGGTCTGTAAATAGTCAAGTCTGGACCAGAGAATCCAGTGATCAATAACATGAGCATCTGCGCAATTGAAATATCATGACATGAGAGTTCTGTAAACATTAACTTCTGAGTTGATATGGCCGTCAGATCATGATAATGGTCACATGATAACAACCTCGTATTGTCAAATCAAGATGAAGTATATTCCCCAATCATGACTGAATTTTATATACATGTACTGTATTTGTATTAAAAAGTGAGTGAAGCACGGGCCTTTCTTGACGTGCGTAAATCCCAGATCAGTTTACAAGTTCTCTGAACAAACTGCATTATTTAGTAACGTCTAACTTTGGAACGTTTGTGTTTTGTTACATTTATTCAGTTCTTCAAAAATCTTTATTTGTAACGAATAAAAAGTCATATTCGATTTGGCCCATTTCATAGTTTTCATCAGCGATCGACCATTTGATATTTCGAGCCTAAATATTTATTTATGAAAAACACCTTGCAACAATGTTAGTCAGCAATCGTGCCTTATTCCACAGTCTGGAAGCATTAGCATGTTTTAAAGCATTTCTATGATTATTTATTATTTTGATCAAATCCCTCGGAATAAATAAATGGTTGATCTATTGTGGTTAACAGATGATTGCAGAAGAAAACTCATTGTGAAAAAAACCCATTCAAGTCAATATGAACGGCCATTACGACAAGCCTATGGATCATCTCTGCATATAAAATTAAGTTCATTCAGAAGATCGCAGAAGAATCTCCGTTCGTCATCAAACTTACAAAGACAAAGAATGTACTGACAAATATAATTATATTGCTTTGTTACATGGTGGGTAGTGTGAGGTCTTCAGCAATACAGCACAATACATTGCTTTGGTGATGCTCAGCCCAACGTATAAAGATTAATGGAGACGTCTATAGTGTAGCGTTTATATGCTTACTATATGCTACAAACAGAATAAAGGTTAAGAAAAACATCCATACACGAAAAATGTAAAGGAGAACTTAAACATCTTGCCTCACTTTAAAAAAATGAAACGTTTCGAGTGATGCATAGGGCCTCTTATCACACGGTAGTACTGTAAAGTTTGTTATAAAACTAGACTTCCATGTAAGAGGCCAATTATATCCGTGGAAAGTGTGCATCTAGGAAATGCGTGCATATGTTGAAATTACCATACGTTTTAATATGCAATATACTTATTTGGTTTGGACGAAATGTCTTTCCTTGTCAATACCAGGGATGATGCATGTATAGGGAAAGGACATTGATCACCAACACTATTACAAGTTATGGCCTGAGTTGGAACGAAAGGGAAAGGGAAACAGTCATCTTTCAACCTTCAGACCTGAAATCAGCGCATTAAACACTAATAGTCCTTCAGACTGTCACACGTGTCACTCAGTATCGAGTATACCTACCAGGCACATCAATACACGCCCTAACACGAAAGCACCTTACCCAATATGTTATCATTAACACTGTATCATCGCCTGTATGTCACAGCCGTGCCATTTCGTGGGTCTATTGTTAATCGAAAGTAGGTAATTTTGACAATAAGTTTAACTGAAACTTCAGGTATATAAATGATCTGTTATCAGC